TCTGTCTCTCTCTCTCTCTCTCTCTCTCTCTCAGTCTCTCTCTCTGGCTCGCTCTGTCGCTCTCTCTCTCTGGCTCAGTCTCTCTGTCTCTCTCTCTCAGTCTCTCTCTCTGTCTCTCTCCTCTCTCTCGCTCTGTCTGTCTCTCTGTCTCTCTCTCTCTCTCTCTCTCTCAGTCTCTCTCTCTCTTTCTCTCTCTCTCTCTCTCGAATAATTCAAGTAGCTAAATGTTATAATTAATTCAAATAAATGTGATCTTACCGCACTATTTAATCTCTTTCTGATCTGAAGCGAGCAGAATGCGGAGCTAACGAGCTGTAGCTTTGCGTCAGGTGGTTCTTATCTTCACGTCGTGCATTAAAATCGTTCAGTGTACAGCAAGCCGTGCATTATCCCTTATGTATTCGCTCTTTAGCAGCAGTTATTTACAACAATATTTAAATGACACCCTGGTCATTCTTGGCGTACCCAAAATGGTCCCACACTATGGACAGGCATTTCTCAGGTGGAAGTAAAGCTTGGCTGTTTGGTCCCTCTGTCAGTTCATCTAATGCATGTAGTAGCCTCCGTGTCTCTGATAAGCACAGTATTTTAAGCTGGTGCACCGCTAGTGTAACTTTTTTCGTTTCGCGCAAGCTGCAACCGTTCCGTTCCATGTAACAGAAACACTCGGTTTAGCGGAACCTTTACGATTTATTAACCGTGACGTTTTAAAGCGCGGTTAATCGCGAAACCGGTTAATCGCTGCATCCCTACACGTAGCTTTAAGTGCTACTTAGGAGTCGCTATCCGTTTGTCAAGTGCTGAAATGTTATTATGGCTCGTAATTGTAGTACACGCTTGTTAACCTAATGTTGCGTTCCAGACAACTCGAATATAATAACTATTATATTATATAACATTTATACGTATAATATTATACTTTACATAATATACTTTATACAAAAATATATATTATAATATATAATATCTATATAGAGACATTATTTCCGGGTTCGATACATTGGTTTCGAAAGTCTCTGACAGATTTTTTCCCGCAAGTCTTTGAAGCATATTTCCTACATTACTACTTATGTTCAGTCATTCAATTTAGATGTGTATTACTATTTTTTTCTGCCCTTTTGAATTATTTCATTTATAAATTCATTTCGAGTAGTAAAGTGTACAATAAAAACTTCCAGAGCACTCGTAGATCTACGATGATTTTCAAGTGCTACTTAAGTTATGATGCTTTTGGGAAACACCGTAATATTAAGATCAGTCGTACGATCGTTTTTACGAACAACTTAGGCTTGCGAAGCTTTTGGGAAACGCAGCCCAGGTAATTAGAGATGTTCACGTTCTTAGTCGCAATGAAGGTTTTTGAGGAAAACATTCCAGGATTTTTCTCCGTATAATGGACTTCAATGGGGATCATTGGGTTGGAGGTCCAAATTGCATTTTTAATGCAGCTTCAAAGAGCTCGACAGGATCCCAGCCGAGGAATAAGGGTCTTATCTAGAGAAACCAGCTCTAGTCCCCATTGAAATCCATTATATAGAGAAAAATCCAAACATCTCGGATGACATGGAGGAGAGTAAATTACCAGGACATTTTTATTCTGGAAGTGAACTAATACAAGAGCATATTGACACATTGTGTTCCTTTCCGTTTGCTCTTATGTCTTAAATTTGCCATCATAAAACCTGCAGAAACCGTGGGATTTCTCCCGTCATGCACTGCCATATGCACGATATTATACCAGTGTAATCGCGTTTAACGTGACCTTGTTCTTGTGTTCCAGCATCTGACCAAACACACCAAGTTCGTGCGCGACATGATCCGCGAGGTGTGCGGTTTCGCGCCCTACGAGAGGCGCGCTATGGAGCTGCTGAAGGTGTCCAAGGACAAACGTGCCCTCAAGTTCATCAAGAAAAGGGTACGTGTTGAATTTTTCAAGTTTGTCTCATTGGTGTTCCCAGTCAAGGATGACCCGCCTCTGAGAAATCACTTGGTCAACTGGTTTTCTTCCAGTTAGCACAGGGTTTGTATTTCTTTTAGGATCCGATTGATCATAAGGCTCGATGATCTGAGCTTATGCTCCTCAGTTTTTGAGGGAGTACTTCCTAAATGATCCACAAATAAAGCTTCTTTTTTTTTTTTCCACTCATGAGCGCATCAATGAGGCCTGCGTTCAGGCAGCTCCAAAAAGAACTACAAAACCCGTCCTAACTGGAAGAACACAAACAAAAAGATTGAATCCAATAATATAGCACAAGACATTTATAAGCAATTTTGTTACACCACAAGTGTAATAAAGTGGGAGGAAATGTCCCTAAAAAGAAAATTGATACCTTGTGTAAGCAAAGTCAGAACGCTTTAGTCACATCACAAATAAAATACACTTTTTAAATTAGTTATATATTGGTTAATATATCATGCTTGGAACAAAACATTTGAAACAACTTTAAAATGTTTTAAACCATTTGTACAAAATCTGAAAAAAGATGGTATTGTTGGAACGAGAAATGAGATTTTGCCATTTATTTATTTTTTAATAACTGAAATCTTTAGTTCAGATTTTGTTCTCAGATACTAAAGGTTGTCATTTTAGATTCGAGATGCTGTTTGAGTTAGATTTTATTTTTTGTACGTTAGATTGCATTTTATTGAGTTAGATTTTATTTAACTATTGCATATCTTTAAGATCTAGATTTGTTTTTGAATTAGATTTTGTTTGAGTAATTTTGTGTAGTTTTTATTGGGTTTTTTAATGCGTTTGTGTAGTTTTCATTCATTTTTTTTCTTCAGTTTGTTATTTTAGTAAGTTAAACTAGTTTATGTATATATATATATATATATGTGTGTGTGTGTGTATATATTATTTAGCACATCAAGCTGCTGTTGTAGCACCAGCACAATATCCTGATGATCTGGTTGTTGTTTTTTCATATTGTGCGTGTGCGTGTGTGTGTGTGCGTGCGTGTGTGTGTGTGTGTGTGTGTGTGTGTGTGCGCGTGCAGGTGGGAACTCACATCCGCGCCAAGAGAAAGAGGGAAGAGCTCAGCAACATTCTGGCTGCGATGAGGAAAGCTGCTGCCAAGAAGGAGTAGCCTGTATTATGACGAATAAATTTGTGTGTAAAAACAAGCTTGTGTCTCCTGTGCTTCATTGTTACTTCAGAGTTACTCATACTTGCAGTATGCTTGGCTTATTTAAACACTTCATGATCCACGGCTTTGACCACAGCATTTTTGCAATACTGAAGAAACTGGAATTAAGTGATGTCTGAAATGGTGGTTTTCAAACCATTATCGCATGTAGAAACCTTTCGCATTTCAATCAAATGAGTCAAAAAGATGATAATTGTAGTTGATAGCACTTGTGTTTCAGGTAAAGTGCAGTGCATTGTGGGATATGTAACATGTAGTTGGTGATCTTATGCAGAAAATGTATATAAAATATAGTTGCATGCAAATAAGGTAAAGGGTAAAATTTGAAAATGCATGAATTTATATCAGCGTCGCCTGATTTTTGCAGAATATGTAAACTAATTCTACGTTAAATGCGTGCATCCATATACATCTGAACTTCACTATAGTTGAATTGTGTATATAGACCTATATATCTAACTTAAGTAATAAACTGATTTCAGATTAAATGTTTGCACTCTTATAGTTAATGTTTGAAACATCTGATTTGATAACACTAATAAAAGTAATTAAAAAGCAGTCTGATTATATTACCTAAAATGTGTAATGTAATGGATTACGTGGCTAAGTTTTTTGTCATGCAATTTGGAATCGGTAATGGATTACAATTTGTAATCTACCCAGCTCTGATATGTTTTACACGTGTTTAAATAAGTGTATTCTGACATCCCTGGATATCTACTCACCCTTAAACCACTCCTAGATGAAAGAAAGCATACAAAAATGATAAAAACAGCCATGAAGTAGCTTTCTACTGAGAGAACATCCACACAAGCTGTTCCATAATATATATATAATGTAAATGATTTGAGAGAGTACAATTAAGGCAGTTATTTACAAATATGACACTCGTGATGAAATTGGATGTGATTATAAAATCTTCACTAGAGGCTTTCGGGATCCCAGAGTCTGAAACGTTTCAGGAATCTCAGACTTTCACATCTCACAAATCAAGAGGCCACAGCGCAGCATTTACGTGCTACTTCTGTGGGATAAAAACTCCTCTAACGACTGATTGATTAGCCTGGTTCTGTGTGCTCGTGATTTCCTGACACGCAGGATTCAGAATCGCAGCATACCGAAAGATAAAACCACACTCCGCGTTATTGTCCAGAGAACACGATTTTGTAGATCTCGCTGTAGTTTTCCACGAAATGCACTTCCAGCCCTTCGGTGATGTACTCTGCCAGGTCTGAAAAGTCCTTTCTGTTTTCTGCAGGCATGATGATGCAGGTTACGCCAGATCTCTTCGCCTACCGGAAGAATTAAAACATATTAGCAAATATATGAAACATGCATATGTGACCCTGGAGCACAAAACCAGTCATAAGGCTCAATTTTT